AAAGGTAAAATGTTAATGATCTTCACATGTACTATTTGGGGGATGTTTTATGGATAACAGTGTGAGACATGACTGACACGTTGAAGGGTTTTGTCCTTTGCCTTGTTGAACTTATTAATTTTTCGCCTTAAAAAGGGCGATATTTCCCACAAAACATCATCTCCCATCACTTCTGACCACAGACCCAACCTACAATGTTACCTGGCAGTAAATACACAGCCTCATCAAATCACTTATCTTCCCACGTTGCAGGAATAATTTTGAAGGGAATCTGGATAAATTACCTCGCAAATGGTACAGCTGCTCTCGAACAGCTGAACTAATGAATTGTCATGACTCGGAGAGAGGGAGAGGTGCCTTGAATCCGTAATCTGAGACAGCTGACAGGGTGATGCCTGCTCAGGTTTAGTCACCATCGCTAATTACAGGCTGAGAAATTATAGCCACTTTCAAGTTAATGGCTGGTAAACACTCAGAGATAACTCACGGTGAGAAAGGACTTGCCTTGCAGTTAAAAAAGAGGGGGTGGGGGGTGGGAAGGACATTTTATGCTGCTGTGCTGACCCTCCAGCAGTGACTGTTCAACCCAAGCTTTTAATATCCGTGGCATTCATGTTTCAAAAGCATTCTAAATACAAAAACTGCAGGCACTTCCATGTTAATTTTATTTCTTTTTTTTTGTTTTTTAATAGAGATGTAATGCTTTAAATGCAGGTGTGCTCAGTAATAAGGAAAAATTCAATTATTCTCCTCCTCCATCAGTTCTTCTCCACAGCTAAGAATGCAGTGGTGTAATGAAAAATGTCAGTGGTGTGATGGTTATACCAACAATAAAATCATTTGCTCTCTGTTTTTATCTGAAGATACCGAATCTAACATGCCAGTTATGTCTCTAGAGTGGGTTTGAGTGAGGGGCGAATACCAGCTCGGTCAGCAGAGTTTTAAATCAATCCTAGTTCTGCAAAAGCAGGAGTACTTTGTCAGCTTAGAAAATGTTAATGGACTAGCTGGCAAGCATGATTTGAATTACAATTTCAAAATTAAATTTCACTATGCTTATCACTTTTGGGTTTTATTATTTTCTCTCACCAGTATTGCACATAAATTCCCTGGTAAGGCAAGTGTCTCAAACTGCAGATCTACGATATGTAAGCAAAGGTGAAGGTGATAAGTGAGAAAGGTGGGTAAATGACACTAAAAGTACAGTAAATTCAGGTGGGCCTTGGATTTGTGATACTGTACATGCTTTAGAGCTGCTTAATATTGATCAACCTGGGAGTTTTCCTTCCAGACCTGTTCCACTATTTATCCTCTCTGCAATCTAAGAGGAAAGGCAAAAATCTAAAATCTTAATACTCTCATACCGAAGAGCAAAAAAAATCAGTCTTGCTTTGATATCCACGTTTTGGAAATAAAAAATCAAAGAAATAAAAAGATCCACATGAGCATTTTCAAAGCTACAGAATGTTGTTTCTACCAATAAACTGAAGTCCAGTTGTTCAAACTATCGGGATAACAATGGGGCTGGAATTTCATTTGTGTTCTGTGAGTAGTTTAATGGTTGACAAAAAGGAGGGATGGTGAAAGGGCCTCTAATTTTCCAGGGAAGAGCATGACATATTCAGATTTATGGACAAATTCTGGGCCCAAATGTTTAATCTTCCAAAAGTCACAAAACAACCAGAGCAGTCTAAAGAGGCAAAAGGCAATTTTAATATTTCTTTATCTTATCATCCCTGACTTCTGGAAACTATACTTGAGGATATTGAAAGTGTAAATATACACATAAACTTAGTATGAGTTTCAGATAATAAAAACACTTGTAGCCCAGCACCCTAAGCTTGGTACACTGTTTCAGTGCCCCAAAAAAATCCCCAAAGACATTGTAACTGAATTTCTTGTTTCTTCCTGCTCTAGTGCAATCAGTTCTGTCTGGTGGCATCTGGAGTGACACAATATTTGTAATGTGAATGCAAAGGAATCTCAGTTATGGGAGAACTGTCTAAAATTCATCACAGATCTCTCTCAAATTTGGCTTCTGCACAGCGAGTTGTTCTGTGCAGAAGTCTTCCCAGGCACACAGATAGTGTTAACTACAAAATCTTTTTAATTTTCAAAATGAAAAATGCAGAGACAAAGCGTGGTAATTTGTTCAACCTTTAGAAAGTCACGAATCTGCTTACGTTTAGGTCACTATTTTACATATATGGAAACCTTTTTAGAGGGAAAAACCTTATTTATACTTTCTGCTGGAGGGAAAAGTAAATTGCTGATAACTTGTTAAAGTTCCATTAAAAAAACCCCTCACAGCTATTCATACAATGGCTTTCCTGGGTACCTCCCTAGGAGGAGATTTCTGAGTTCTCTGCTTGGCGTGCTGCTGCAAAAAAAGATTATGCAGAAATATATTTGCAACTTCAATTTCTGTGTGCGTGTGCCCTTTGACTCTGTTTGGACTACAATCAGGTAAATAATTGTATTAGTTTCAGCAATTTTTTCCAGTGGAGAAGCTGAGGTTTCACGAGAACTCTCCACTCAAACAGAGTTATGGTTATGCAGCTACTTCTTTTCACCTCTCTTATCCCCTGGTTCCACAAACAAAACTCGTGGCAATGTATCAGTAACCCTTCACCTGACTGTTGTGAGCAGTGCTCACAGTGTGCAACTCCCCAAAATGATAAGACTGTCTGTTCTTTAAGGATAAGCCTCAAAGGCACCTCAATTATTCTTTCGTGTTGTTTATGAACTGCAGAGAGTGGTTTGGAGGCTGCACCGAGGGTGGTTGATTCCATAATAATTTGGGAACTTGTGACCTCATTCAGAAACATCCAGTGAGTGATACAGTGTAGAGTCCAATTTTAAAGGGTTTGTGAGTTGTTTGAGGGTTATTTATTTGGGGGTTTTGTTGTTTTGTTTGGAAATATTTATATCTGGCATTCTGCCAGGCTTTATTTGGATTACCTTGCTGTATCGTTCCTTAGCAAAGAAGTAGTTTGTGCATCAGTTTTTAGTTGGGTTAAGATTTGATTTAATAAATAATACCTAAAAGTAATTGTCAGTTGCAAAGTTAATACTTGAAGATGCTCTAATGGAAAGAGTCCTCATCTTTCTGCTCTCCTGAATAGGCATAAAAATCTCCAACACTTTAAAGAGAATGCAAGTTAAAAGTTGTTACTTGATTTTTTTTTTTTTGTATTTTTATTTCCTCTAAAGCAGCATTAATTTCCAATTAATATAGAAAGCAGTTAAATGAATTCAGAGTTGGGATTGAAGGGAGAAATGATTTTGTTTCCTTACTGAAGTCCAGTAAGTTGGCTTTTTGGTTGGTTTTTTTTGATTTTTTTTTTTTAGGTTTTTTGATTCTTCAGCTGAATGAACTGGAAATGGGAAAAATATTGCCTGTTTCACCAGTACTGTACATATTAAACCATCTTTTTTTTTTTTTTAAATGTATGTCCCTTAATTGCTAATGCTGAAAGGCTCCACAAAGCTGCAGAAGGCCTTTTGTTAACTGTAGTGAAAGCTGTGGCGATAATAATGCTGGGTAAAAAAAAAAAAAGTCTTGATTTAATACCTCTTAAAGAAATTACTTTTGGAAGTTGAGCTAAAGAAATATCAGATGTTAAACAAACCCTGTTTGCTTGGCAGCATGGGAAATCAGAAATTCTGCTGTCGCTACCTAGCAGTGGTTGTCAAAAAGCAAAATACTCAGCTTAAAACCATGAGTTCCGTTCAGAAATACAAACTGTGTATTCACAACAATCTCTTTGGTGGAAATCAAAGCAGAGCTTTGCTCAGGAGCTTGCTTTCATCTTCCCTCACAACCTGTCTGTGGTGGCTTGGATGCAGCACAGCCCAAAAGTGCACGATAAACCCGAGGTCTTTATCAAACAACTGCTAAATCAAATAAAACTACCTTGATGGGTACAAACCCCTTAATAGTTGCCCATTAAGAGGGGCGATGCTGTATCGCTCCGATTGATGGGGACATAAAAGCAGGACAAAGAACACTTTGCCGGTGTTAAATGCCCATCGTGGCAATACCTCTCTAAAATTAGCGCCGAAAATTGGCCTGTCTCAGAAGCTGCTCGCAGAGCGTCCCGGCTCTGGATCTGACGTTGCCACTGCTTTTCCTTTTTGCCGAGGGATTTACTGTGATACAGAGATGACGTCCTGAAACCTGAACTCAGTCGCGATCCCCCTCAGTTTTATTTTCACTGTGTTGTTTGTAACCAGCATTGCTTGTAACGTCACTGCACAAAAATTGCCACAGCCCGATTTATTGAGCTTCTTTATGCAACTTTTGAACTGGTTTCATTTATTTTTTGCAGTCCCTTTGCAGATTAGGTGCTGAAGACCTTTAAAAGAGGAAAATCTCCCCGTGGGTGAAGTGGCAGATCACCAACCATCTCCAGGGGAAGCTACATGGAAATGTCTGGGACTGCAAGTGTAACCTGTCACCTTGTTAGTCTGGTAAGTGGTGAAATGCTACATTCACCTTTTTAAAACTAGTAGGATGTTCCCCTTCGCAGGGGAGAAATGGAAAAAAAAAAAAAATAAGACCACTTTGGGGGAATTACAAGTTGGGCAAATGCTTTCAGAGTAGATCTCCTTGGATTTTTTTTTTTTTTTTTTGGAACCAAAATTTATATTATGATAAGGAAATGCTCACAATTTTGCTAAGTGGTTTGCTTTTTTTTAATTTAAGTGATTTTCTTAATCTTAATTTAAAGTGATCACTTTAATTTAAGTGATTTTCTTGTAGCTGATCTAATTTACGTACACTTAATTTTATAGAGAAAGTCAAGATAACTGGTCCTTATATTCAGCAGTTCCAGCTGGAAGGGGCCATTCACAAAATGACCCAAAAATCTGAACTTGAAACCTCTAGGACAGAAGACAAAAACAACTTGCAATACCTGTAACAAAGCTCTAGTTGTCTGGTGTAAGGTGATTTATAAATGCATGGCAAGCAAACAAAAACATTTTTCCCTGTTACATATTCAGATAATAATGATTAAAAAAAAAAAAGTTTGGGTGAATTAAAATCCTGTAGCAGAGCCTGTAAAATCCCTTGGCAACTGCCAACTTTTGAAGTGTTTCACTTTAATTTGCACTGATGGTAATGAACATTTAAACACTTCAGGGGTTTTATTTATTTATTTATTTCAGTCTGACCCACTAGTATGCTTTTAAGGTCTTATGCTCTGGGGTAAAATGTTGTTCTTTGCCTGCTCTTGGAGCACATGATCCCCTTTCCTCACTTTAAAGTGGCCCTGGGACAGAGCCAGCTTGCAATGTGGCGTATTTTTTTCCCACAGATGATGGGCTGCTGTTATTCCAGACATCTCTCAAATGTTCAGTGGGATGATGAGACAAACACCTGTTTGTTTGCACAGTCAGTATAATCTGTACCGTTTTTGCAGGTGGTGCCCTTGCACAGTTCTTTGAGGTAAGTGCTAAATAGCCATGAATGACTTGGAAGCAACGGTGGAAAAAATATAGACATTTAAAACTTCCAGCAGTTTCTGCTTCCATCAGATTTTTAAACCTGTTTGGGCATGGGAGAGCACAGAAAGGGGAGCATTTCAAGACTGCAAATGTTCTTGGGGCTTCTAACATGCCATTTTTCAGCTATGAAAGAAGTCTTCTGTAATACAGAAATGAAGAGGTTTATCCAGCAGAAAATAAGTGTTGTCACTTTATTTTTTTTTTTTTTTGGCAGGAGGTGGTGGTGGTTCATCATTTGGACACATCAGGTACTTTCTTTGTGACTATCGTGTAATATAAAATGACAACGTTTCAAACGGCGATAAAATGACAAAGCACTGATCTGTGGTGGAAATCCAGCATGGTGAGAGAGGTTCAGCCAGGCAGAATTGTCTCAAAATGGAGTTAGAAGTGCACTTAGCTTTCACTTTATTTCCTTACTGCACTTTACTCTTGCTGATTCGCTACAGGGGAACCAGGAGCAGTGAACACTCTTGAAATGTCTCCAGTTTGTGGGGTGTTGTGTTCATGGCACTCTCCCATCCAACATTTTGAATACTTGTTTATCCAACGTTGTTCATCACTTTGAAAACAGAGCTGAAATCAAACCTAGTGCATTTTCTGTGGCTGGAATACTTATATCTGTCCACACAGTAAGGAAAAACGTCCGTGGTTAAAACTCACGGGACTGGTTTAAATTGTCACAGTGGCTTTTGTGATTCTCAAGTAGAAAATAGAGCTTGCATTTGGGAAATACATGCTCTGCTGAACTGTCCCAGCCTGGGAAATTCCTGGAAGGGCACAGTAGTTGCCTTGTGCCAGAAACACAATATAAGCTGGTCAGAAGGATAGCTACTGCCCAATATGCTGTGCTGGCAACCAGGGTGAAATCTGTAATCCCATATAAATTTTCTCCTGAGAGACTGAGTGGGAATGAAGACAGATTGTATGGTCACAGAAAAGAAAAAAAAAGAAAAGAAAAAATAAAAAGGGATTTATTTCCTGCAGGAAAATAGTGTATTTTATAAATACACTGATTAAATACAGTCTAGCTAAAACGCAAGGACTGAAGTTAAATGAGATTGTTGAAGTGTACAAGCACATAGCAGACAAGTGCTAGGGAATGATATTACTTACTGTATCAGAAACTGGAGATATTTCTAAATGTGACACAACTATTTAAGCTGAAATTAATAGACAGGCATCATGTGACACTTTATTCTTCTGAAGTAATTTTCACTGCTGTTCCCATGAGAGTCTGGGAAATTGGGATTGACTTACAGTGAGAACGATGCCTGCGATTATCTTGTACCCCGCCTTGCCGGTGGGTTCCCTTTAGGAGGGTTTCCTACCCTCCTTTCCACCCCACATTCCTGTTGGGTTGCAGGGGAAGCACATGTTGAGGCAAGTGGTGGGGAGCTGGAGGAAGGTGTTCAAAGAACCCCACAGACTTCAGCTCAGCCAAGGGAATTCTGTACGTGCCCCCCGTGTTTTAATCACTAATACTGAGGTCTAGGGGGATGCCACCATCTCTAGTCATTTAGGAAATGCAAATTCTCTGTCTGACTGGATGACCTATACCTTTTCCTTATAGGTTGGAACTATTCAGTGACCATCACCAACTGTAAAATGCCATAAATGGAACAATATCTTGAGAGGAGCTGCACAGAACCCTTCAGATTAACCAACTGGCACTGTAAGTGTGACTGTCCTGGTGTCACTTTTAGAAAGCAGTGCTAACTCCCGTGGATGGGGCTTTCCTTGGGGAGCAAATTACATGGTGTTAAGAAGAAAAGCTTCTCTGTTGTTCCAAAGTTGCTCTGTGGCTGTGTTCAGTTTGAACTTCTGTGGTGGTTTAAAACCCTCAGAAATCCAATTTCCAAGTTTAAGCTCCCCTTCCCACAATTTGCCCCAGTGTGAGAGGGTTTTCAGACAAAACACAACCACTCAGCATTGGGGGCAGGGGAAAATACTTACAAAGGTTTATTTACATACACATATATATAGGTAACAACTTAGTTATCTCTTCTAACATGAAATAATATATTTACATTAGATTAAATGTCTCTTTTTCTTCAGTAAGAGTTCAAGAAGAAAAGAGAAAAGTCCTTCTGTCAGTCCTCAGGTCACAGTTCCTTCATTTCAGTTTCTGTGGTATTAGTCAGTGTATTTCATTTTTTAAGGCAGCAGATTTAAGTATTGCAGTCAGGATTTTCTGTTCTTACTTTGTGGAAATTCCAATTCCCGAGCCCAAGCCTTCGGGGAATTTCCTTGGAGACCTTCACTCCTCCTGGACTGGAACATTTAGGGCAGCTCTCAGTTCAGTCTTTGCCCCAAGCGTCTTATCAGAGCTCCTCTGCTCTGTCTCAACTTCTGTTACTATTTTTGTGATCTACTGATATTTCTAAACACACATAAACTGCCAGCCCCCCAAATCTGTGGCTCACACAAACCACTTTGAAACAAAGCATTAAACCCCCAAACCGCCTGTGTTACAGGAAACTCTGATTTTCCAAGTCCTCAAAGACTTGTTTCAAAAGTCAGGCTGGTGTGACTGGTTAGCAACTCACTCTGGACATTTAAAGTCTTCCAGCCTATGGTTTAATATTCCCTGTAAGTGTGACTGTCCTGGTGTCAGTTTTAGAAAGCAGTGCTAACTCCTGTGGATGGGGCTTTCCTTGGTGAGCAAATTACATGGTGTTAAGAAAAAAAGTTTCTCTGTTGTTCTAAAGTTGCTCTGTGGCTGTGTTCAGTTTGAACTTCTGTTACTATTTTTGTGATTTGCTGATATTTCTAAACACACATAAACTGTCAGCCCCCCAAATCTATGGCTCATACATACTTTCATACCACTTTGAAACAAAACATTAACCCCCCCAAACCACCTGTGCTACAGGAAACTCTGATTTTCCAAGTCCTCAAAGACTGTTTCAAAAGTCAGGCTGGTGTGACTGGTTAGCAGTGCACTCTGGACATTTAAACTCTGATTTCTTGCTTCTGCTTCCCAGCCTATGGTTTAATCTTCTGTGGAGATGTGCTGAACAGAGCAGCTGGCCTATAATTGGGGGAGATTGCTGCAGACACTTATCTCTGTGGGTGTTACTCACTCCTGTTCTTGGTGTTATTGCAGTTTAAATGGTTATCATTTTCATCTATAGTGTCTTTCTAAGACAAAAATAAGCATGTACCACTTATCTTTTCAGTGTCATTGAATCGTTTCAGTGTTGACTGATATTTTTTTTACTTCTTCTTCCTTTTTTCCTGCTGATCCCTGGTCATAGCACAGCAGAAGTTCTACATTGTTATCACTCATATGCTATTTAGCAGAAGCAATCAAGATCTAAATGAGCTTAAAAATTTCTGTTCTGGTTACTGTGATTGGAGTGACAAAATCTTTTATCCTAACAATCAAAAAAAAAAAGAAAATCCAAGTAATTTTATAACTGTGCTCCCAAATTCTACAACTTATTCAGATCTTGTTGCACTGGCTGCTTTTCATACCACACATTTCTTGGGACTCTGAATACCCCTGAGCAGGTACCCCTCTTGTTGAGACAGTCATTTCTTACCTTGTACAAATTGGGAAGCCAAACTGAGGTGATCAGAGTTCAAGTGAGTGTTGGAAGAGGGCTTGTACTAAGTAACACACTGGGAATTGAGAAATCTGATTTCAGGTATGATCCTGAGCAAATATTTCTGGTGTGACCTATTTCTAGTGTGACTTAATCCATTGATCAGTCTGGGTGTGATCTGTATCCTGCCAAGGTTAATAAAGGTGTTTCTTTTGATTTTAGTGAACTTTAGCATCCTCATCCATTAAGTGTGGCCATGGCTTTGTTGTTTATCCTCCTTCTGAAACAGGCAATGCCTGATGTGCATTCAGGCATCCAGGAAAAATATAACCCGTGGCTCTGGCAGCCCACAAGCGATGCTACTAATGATGGAAGAGAAAAACCTTTCCAAGGTCAAGTTACCAAACATCTGAACTCTGGGAAGCATTTGTCATGGCCTGGGAATTGATCTGAAACCTGATCCATCTTGGAGAATAAATCACCACAGAAAGCATGCATTAGAATATCTCTCACTGAAATTCCCTATGGAGCTGATTTCCTGGAAGCAGACTTAGGTGTAGTATTGGTAATGGGACTAGCAGGCTGGAAGGAAGGCTGAAAAATAGTCACAAGAAATGAAAACATCAGTGCTTACAGAGGGAGGGACCAAAGCTGCTCCTTTCAGCTCAGTGAAAAGCTGGATTGCTCTTCAGGTGAGTGATTATAAATGGTAAGCACGTGGAGCTCATTCTGAAAGTTTTAGTGCTGCTACTTGACATTGCATAACTTGTAATAAACAGAAATATCAGCTCCATGAAGACTTTAAAACAGAACAAAGAGGATGAGTAAGTCCTGAGGTTTGCTCCCATCTTAAGGGTTCCTTGTATTGCAAATTCATAAAGCCAAGCATATTTGGTGAGGCCGTATCATAAACTCTTTGTCTCTTGGGAAGCTGTGTGTAGTAGTTGTACAAGTACTGGATTTATTCTAAGAATTTTCTCTGGGTTCATAATTTTTAATTGCTTTCATTACTTGTAGCTCAAGGCAAAGGGTGCAAAGAAGCAATCAGTAATTTGTCCTCCAACCCCACAATGTCGTGCAGTCAAGCCAATGTCCTACATAAACTGAAAGAAAGCCTAATGATGAAGGCTCTGCCTGGTATTACCTGGGATTAACTGGTGAAAAAAAAAAAGCTCCTAATAAAAAATAGTTGAGAGCTAGCACAGGTCTTCTCCCCTGAACAGAATCTAAGGACACAGCCTTAATCCCTGTGGGGTCTGCTCTGGGCCTATTCAACCATTTTTGGCTTTTGTGGTTTGTGCTAATGTGGGCTGGAACAACTGTAATGGATGTAAGGGGCAGGAAAAAACCCTCTTGCTATAATGTTCAATTTTAAATTATTTTCAGGCAAAAGCAGGCTGAATGTAGCACACAATACAAATCAAAAGGAAAGAGGAGGCTTGGAAGAGAAGGAGGCTGAGACTGAAAGCAACACAGCATGAGAGGAATGTGAAGTGCTGTTTTATAAACCGAGCATTCCTCCTGCTCCCTCAGTTGATCTGCAATACTCTGTAAATAAATACATTGCCTGGATATTTTTTTTTCCATTTTCCTTTTGCTGTTTGTATACTTAACTTTATAAAACTCGTTTCTTTTTGTCTTTCATTCCATGTCAGCAAAGAGCCCTTGTGAAAGCAGTCAAGTCCTTTGCCCAGCACACTCTCCGTGCCAAGGTAGGTCCAAATCCACAGCAGTTGTCAGGAGTGGGTGCTCAGTCTGACCAATAACCAGAGCAGTGTGACAGCTCCTAGCAGTGCATTATAAACAGCACCAGAAAGAGCAATGAAAACATCAGTGCTTACAGAGGGAGGGACCAAAGCTCCTTCTTTCAGCTCAGTGGAAAACTGGATTGCTCTTCAGGTGAGTGATTATAAATGGTAAGCACGTGGAGCTCATTCTGAAAGTTTTAGTGCTAGTACTTGACATTGCATACCTTGTAATAAACAAGAGATGATCTCTAAGTTTTATTACACCAGAGCAGCTTTAAAATCTTCAAATCATACACAGCTTTATCCAACTTTCTCCCTTTTTCAGTAGCTGTTATGGCTCAACCATTCTTCTTTTCCTTGCTCTTGCCTGCTCAGACAAGCAAAGATCTTGTCTGATCTTTGGATGAAGCATCAAACAGGCCAAAATCCACTGGGTTTTGAAACAAGAGGAGCACTGAAAGAGGAAGATTCCAGCCAGGCCTTTGTCTGTTGACTGATTGGTCTGGTTTTGGAGTTGACATTTGCAAGCACGAAGGCATCAGGGAAAGCAGCAACGGCATTTTGAGGACTCTGCTGCAAAAACGGCCAAGTGGAATCTCTCCTGTTTCCACCTGTTCTCCCCCTCTGCCTTCTTCTCAGTTCCAGCCTTTGTCATCTCTGCAGCAATCACTGAGGCTGCAGGAAGGTGAATTATTGCTTTAGTGCTGTTGGAGTACATAATGTTGCAGTTCATTGGTTTTGTTATGTTTTTGTGGGTATTTTTTCCTTACTTATTTTGAGAATGCTTTGGCTTTTCTTCAAGGAGAGAACTTGGCGTTTTAGGTACCATATCTTAATGTGCTAAACTCCTACAGAACAATCAGAAAAATCCCAATTTAACTTAGTCTTGGGACTCTTTTAATCCACTGTTTGGTAAGATTACTTAGCTTACCACAGCACACCAGAGCATCACAAAGAAAAGGGACACTTCTAAACCTTAACATACATGCACACACACATATATAAATGAAATTGTAAAGTCTCTGAGAATTTCTGCTGAGACAGTAGGGGGGAAATGTTATTTTTATAATAAGATTATGTTTTGCAGTGAATTTCTGGCTATTTTGAGGTGATAATCAGTGCTGAGTAGGTTTCTTTGCCATAAAAGGATCCAGTCTAAAGAGACTCTTGAGTGGCAGCCTAGATATGAGAAATGCTATTTGAATTACATACAGTTTATATTCCTGCCCATTTTTATAGTATTTTCCAGAGGCTCTTCTTTAGTTTTAGGCCTTCTCTATGAAAGCACATGCAATAAAACTGTTGCTGCTGCCAGCTTGTATGCCTGAAAGGTCAACTTTTTTTTTTTTTGTTCTAACTTTATCAGTTTCTTTAATAAAAGATATTAACTCTCTTCACAGACTTGTCATGCAGAGAGGAGAAAAATATCCCCTGCTCCAAAGAAAATATCACTTCTATTTAATGATTAAAACAAATCACTGGGAGAGAAGATATAAGACAGCTACAGGAAAATTCTGGTGAGTAGTAAGCGGTAAAAGCTTCAGTTGTGTGGCCGTTCTGAGAGAGGTTTTCATAGTAGAATGGAGCAAAATGGATCAGAACATGGTGCAAAAATTGCCAGAGTAAGGAGGCTTTCCAGTCCGTCAGGAGCAGGTGATGGAGCAAGAGAGGATCTTGGTTTAGAGTGCAATGGGGGGTGGACTGGGGTGCTTTATCCTTTCCTTTCCTTTCTCTTTTCCTTTTTCCAGAACTTTCCAGAACTTTCCAGAAATTCCTAGAACTTTCCTTTTCTGAAATTTTATTTCCTTTTGGAAAAATTCCAGAACTTTCCAGAACTTTCCAGAAAGTTTTTTTCTGAAATTTTACTTCCTTTCCTGAAGTTTTCAGAAAAGTCCAGAACTTTCCAGAAATTTCCTTGTCTGAACTTTTATTTCCTTTTGGAAAACTCCAGAACTTTCCAGAACATTCCCAGAACTTTCCAGAAATTTCCTTGTCTGAACTTTTATTTCCTTTTGGAAAAATTCAAGAACTTTCCAGAACTCTCTAGAACTTTCCAGAACATTCCAGAACTTTCCAGAACATTCCAGAACTTTCCAGTATTTTCCAGAATTTTCCTTGTCTGAACTTTTATTTCCTTTCAGAACATTCCAGAACTTTCCAGAACATTCCAGAACTTTCCGGAAATTTCCAGGACTTTCCAGAAATTTCCTTGTCTGAACTTTTATTTCCTTTCAGAAAATTCCAGAACTTTCCAGAACATTCATGAACTTTCCGGCACTTTCCAGAAATTTCCAGAAATGTCGTCTTCTGATATTTTATTTAATTTTGGAAAATTCCAGAACTTTCCATAACATTCAAGAACTTTCCAGATATTTCCAGAAATTTCCAGAAATTTCCTCTTCTGATATTTTATTTCCTTTTGGAAAATTCCAGAACTTTTCAGAACATTCAAGAACTTTCCGGAAATTTCCAGAAATTTCCTCCTCTAATAATTTATTTCATTTCAGAAAATTCTGGAACTTTCTAGAACATTCAAGAACTTTCCAGAAATTTCCTCTTGTGATATTTTATTTAGTTTCGGAAAATTCCAGAACTTTCCAGAAATTTCCAGAATTTTTCGGAAATTTCCAGAACATTCCAGAATTTTTCGGAAATTTCCAGAACTTTCCAGAAAGTTTTTTTCTGAAATTTTATTTCCTTTTTGAAATTTCCAGAACTTTCCAGAATTTTCCAGAAATTTCCTTTTCTGATTTTTTCTTTCTGAAAATACCAGAACTTTCCAGAACATTCCAGAACTTTCCAGAAATTTCCTTGTCTGAACTTTTATTTCCTTTTGGAAAATTCCAGAACTTTCCAGAAATTTCTAGAATTTTCCGGAAATTTCCAGGTATTTCCAGAACTTTCGAGAAATTTCCTCTTCTGATATATTATTTCCTTTTGGAAAATTCCAGAACTTTCCAGAACATTGCAGAACTTTCCAGAACATTTCAGAATTTTCCAGAAATTTCCTTATCTGAACTTTTATTTCCTTTCGGAAAATTCCAGAACTTTCCAGAACATTCCAGAACTTTCCAGAAATGTCCTTGTCTGAACTTTTATTTCCTTCTGGAAAATTCCAGAACTTTCCAGAACTTTCCGGAACTCTCTAGAACTTTCCAGAACTTTCCTTGTCTGAACTGTTATTTCCTTTTGGAAAATTCCAGAACTTTCCAGAAAATTCCATAAATTTCTAAAATTTCATTTCCTTTTGGAAATTCCAGAACTTTCCAGAACTCTCTAGAACTTTCCTCGTCTGAACTTTTATTTCTTTTTTGGAAAACGCCAGAACTTTCCAGAACATTCCAGAATTTTCTGGAAAGTTCCAGAACTTTCCAGAATTTTCCGGAAACTTCCTTTTCTAAAATTTTATTTCCTTTCCAGAAATTTCCAGAAAATTCCAGAACTTTCCAAAAATTTCCGGAAATTTCCTTGTCTGAACTTTTATTTCCTTTTGGAAAATTCCAGAACTTTCCAGAACTTTCCAGAAATTTTCTTTTCTGATATTTTATTTCCTTTCGGACAATTCCAGAACCTTCCAGAACATTCAAGAATTTTCCGGAAATTTCCAGATATTTCCAGAACTTTCCAGAAATTTCCTCCTCTGATATTTTATTTCCTTTTGGAAAATTCCAGAACTTTCCAGAACATTCCAGAACTTTCCAGAAATGTCCTTGTCTTAACTTTTATTTCTTTTTGGAAAACTCCAGAACTTTCCAGAACATTCCAGAATTTTCCTTGTCTGAACTTTCATTCCCTTTTGGAAAATTCCAGAACTTTCCAGAACTTTCCAGTATTTTCCGGACTTTTCCTTGTCTGAACTTTTATTTCCTTTCAGAAAATTCCAGAACTTTCCAGAACTTTCCAGAATTTTTTGGAAAGTTCCAGAAA